TCTTCCATCTGTGTTGTTCCTCATGGTGTTCTTCAGTCTGAACTTGGCCTCATTCATTGCCACATGTCTAGACCTTGTTCAACTTTCAAAGCAGTCACTACTTGTAACCTCTTTCACAAAACCATGCTCCCCACCATCACTTCTACAGATGCTGCCACGCTTTTCAGTGCTGAAATTCCAAAGCACATAATTTTCCCTCTGGTTTATACATTTTTATTGTAATTATTCTTTGCATCATGGTTATTAAAGCCCCTTCTCTGAATGGATACTGGCTATACACACCTGGTTCAGCAAGCATGCTTCCTGGCTGCTGATGAAATAGAACCAATCATACTAGATGGACAGTATGCTCCCTCAGATCAGCATATGTATTGAATCGATCTCTGTAGGATCCAAAGTTTTAATATGGTGTTTTGCATATAATAGATACACTCCTATATAGCACTAATCAACTTTGGAAATATAAGAAAGGTAGCATAAGTATTGGGAAAAATAAGACAGCAAGGTCCCGTATTTGTGGAGTGAATATTATTGGATGCCATAATAATAGCTGTTATTATACTCTAATTGAGGATCTTCCATAATGGTTTCATATTTTCTCTTTGAGAGTAGAGCCTAGCAAATTTCTAGAATGTTTGAGGTTTATTTGTTCTGGAAACTGAATTTCCATTCTTACTGAAACTAAATTGAATTTTATAAAGATACTTAAGAAAACAAATGATTTATTAGGGTTATTTGTTCTTGAAAGGTATATAGCCAAGAAAATTAAACTTCATGGAAAGTTGTGATTGTCATACTTTTTAAAGATGATGAACACCTGGTTTAGGAGACTTAATGGATCAAGGCAGCTACTACATGGATGTTCACTGGCAAAAAATAACAGTATTAAATACATCCATCTTAACTAATAGAAGGGTCAACTAGCTTAAAGGATGTAATTAGATGTTTTTAGTGTAAATTGGGAAAACATTCATCTGTACAATTTGAAAGTCTAATTGGTTTGATTTGAATCTTAAAGAAAAGTGGTCTTGTATAGCTCTCATTGTCAACAGGTGCACAACATTTTGTCAATCCTGAATAATAATCATTTCTTTGGATGGGACCAAAATGACTCTATCTCACATATACTCCTAATTTAATAATAGCTACAACTTAAAGGATGTTAACTGTATGCCAAACATAACACTTATTTTCACTTTACATGTGCTCTCAATTGTGGAAATTCAATGACTGATTAGTGGAGATAGTCTGAAAAAGTGTTACTGTTTTATACTACAACTTAAGTCAGAATCCCAGAACCCTTCATAGAGCTCACATTCTGACCCATTGAACTAATCTCATGCTGGGATTAAAATTCATAAACAACTTCTATGAATAAGGAAAAACATTGTTAGAGAAAATGACTAAGTGGAAAGTTATTGTTTTTAAATTAGAAGCAGAATAAATGGACTTGCTTAATAAGAAGAACAAGGACATGGCTATTTAACATTAAAAAACAGTAACATTCTCAACAGAAATTGCAACCCCATAAAACATCACTTTTTACATTCTGAACCCTATAAAGCAAAAACAAGAATAAAAATTGTATGTGAACGAACTGTCTAAAAGCGATTACTTAAAATCTATGATATACTCTGAATTAAAGTATGCTGTCCTAAAGCAAATCTTTGTAGATGAGTATTTCTTAGAGTGGACTAAGTTGTTCATAAAGCAAAGTGCTTAAATGAATAATATAAGTACTCAAGATGAAGTAGAACATTTCAAGGATCTATAATTTCAAGAAAACTGTGCTTATCTACAGAGTCATAGTTTTTCTAATGTCCTGGTGAAGGATTGAACGGAGGAAAAATACAATAAAAAACTATATATTTTGTCTAAAAAAATTGAATTGACTCTTGTTTGTTTTTGTTCTCCCACTAAATTGGCTGTTTATGTTCACTGACAACAAAAGGAAGTAAAGACAATTCTTTGGATCACTCAAAACAAACACAGGTTATACATATATCTCAAGTACAACACAAAGTTGATTCCGTATTTCTGTGTGGGCAAAACAAAATCTTGCACTTTAAATTGATGTGTCCTCCTATCTGCATAGAGCAAATACATTCTTAATCATTTTCTCCTCACTCTGTTTATATATTCTTTCTAATTTAAAATTGCCTCTGAAAGTCTAATATTATTGCAGTTTTCTTCTCCATATTATTAACTCTTTTTTATATTTCTCTTACAGTGATTCATGCCAAATTCATATGGTTATGTAGATTATACATTTGATTATTGTCAAATGTTAACAGTAACTCAGTCAAAAACAACTTGTCCAAAAAGTTGCTACCAAAAGGGCACTTGACTATAAATAACTCACATTATATTACATATTCCATCTTGTTCCTGTCCTCAACCTCCGCCCCTCTGCTCAATGACTAATCTGAGATCAACTGTTGATCAGGGTCAGTTCATTAAAGGGGAAACATATTGACTCATAAGTTTAAATAAAAATAAAGTAGCCTCTGATTGGCTCCTTCTTGGAAAACAAGCATGTTTTGTGTGGGACTGATATGAAAGAAGAAAGCAGTATTAGGATGAACAATTTCTGTTCATTGACAGCTGTTAACATTTATACTAAAACAATTTTATTTATAAACTTTAGGATTAAAGAAAGGTAAAATTAAGTAGCTAAAAGTATGCATGAATTGCTTCTCTATATATGTAAATTCTAGAGTAACATGAAAATCAATAGCTACTAATTGTATAGACATTCTCTGAGCAACTCTGCGGGCAAGGCTGTCTGCTAAGTGCTGGGATAACAAGAGGAGTAAGTGCTTTCTCTGGTCTGAGAGTTGTTCAGCCTTATGTAGGAGACAAAAATAGAAATAGGTGATTTAAATCAAAGAACAATGATAAAATATGCAAATTCTGTCAACTGTGTGTGTTAAGAGCATAGAAGGAAAAGAAGGCAAATGGGGAAGAGAGTGAATTAAGTGCAGGGCATACGTAGTTTGATGCATCCATGTAAAATATTGTGCCAGCCCTATACTTATGTGCTTTCGGATACATTCTTCAGTCTTTTCCTTGCTTTCTTCTCAGAGTAGCTGCCCTGTACAGTTTTGCAGACCTCTCTGTCAACTGGCTTCCAATTGGATTTGATCAGGCACTGGCAGAGATGGGAGACTGGAAGGAAGAGAGAACCAGGATATTTCTACCCATCCTTGTCTGTCTCAGGATATATTTCTGGCACTGGCTGAATTTCTTTCATGTTTCTTACTCCCAGAAAGCAGGCGTGTCCTGGTTTTGGCTCTCACTGTCCTCTAGCTTACTGGAACAATAGCTATTTTTCTGCTGCTTCACTATACCCCACTTAGTTTCTCAGCTTCTTTCAAGAGTATATAATCAATTGCTAGTCATTTGTTTCCTCTATTTCAAATATTCAGAGCCATTTATAGTTTCCTGGTTGGACACAAATGCCTGACATACTGAGTCTAAATTCCAGGAGTTTGGGCTGCAGGTTTGGGACTAATCAACTTATAAGAGAGAGTTCATGAGTGTGTACAGAGATAGGGTAGGTAAAAAGATTGGTAGATTGAGGGTGGAACCCTTGTATTTGCAAGAGATAAAGGAAGCATAGCTTTTGAAGGAGTCCAAAGATTAATTTACAATTTGAGTAGAACAAGAAAAATGTGGCATTCACTTAAGCCCCTGAGAAAACCTAGGTATCACTTAGACCCAGCATTTGTCAGATGAGATTTCTGAAGATAGAGAAATGAGGTCACATATCTATTAAAGGCCAGAATTGAAAACCTGTTTTCAATTCTATTTCCCTAGGTAGTATTCTTGTGATAACACACCCATAATCACGCCAATAGTGTGACATTTGGTGTCATTTTCACTTGTTCTGACTTTGTTCTATGTGTGCACTTCAGTTTCCTTTTATATAACGCCAATATATGTTATTAGTTACCTCATAAGTAATTGTAAGAATCAAATGAGACAGTGCATGAAAAGTACTTAGAATAAACTACTTAGAATAGTTAAATGTATTGAGAGAGGTTGGAATGACACATGAAGGACAATAGGGCTACTAGATTCATTTTATTAATTTTTTATTTTTTCAGATGAAGTCTCCCTCTGTCACCCAGGCTGGAGTGCAGTGGCGAGATCTGGGCTCATTGCAAACTCTGCCTCCTAGGTTCAAGCAATTCTCCTACCTCAGCCTCCTGAGTAGCTGGGATTACAGGTGAGCACCACCACACCTGGCTAATTTTTGTATTTTTAGTAGGGACGGGATTTCTCCATGTTGGTCTCAAACTCCTGACCTCATGATCTGTCCACCTCGGCTTCCCAAAGTGCTGGGATTTCAGGAGTGAGTCACCACACCTAGCCAGGGATACTAGATTTTATCACACTATTATGAAAGGTAAGCTAGTCATCATAAAGCTTATAGATACTCTTTTTATATGTTTGCTGAAGTTAAGGTGCTTTCACATTTGGTAATAACTTACCATTTGTTTAATAAAATGAAATTTGAAATTAAATTTGGTTTTTCTTTAGAAGTTAGTTTAGCAGTGAATTTTTCTGTAAAATGATTTTTACACCATTAATTTCTTCTCAGCTTCATATATTTAAGAATTTCCATGGACTTAAATGAGGTTCCATGATTGATTTTCTATTTGCATGATATTTTAAACAAAATATATATTTTTAAGTTCAAGATTTCCCTCCTACCCTCGGAAAGTCTTCTGAGTCTTTTTTGTGTCATCCTTCTCATTCTTCTTTCTCTTTTAATTTTTTAGTACCCCAAGTTCCTTCAATGTTAAACACAAATGAGAAAACTGGGAAATTGTAAAGAAAGTCATTCTCATTTAATAGATAATGATGTCTTACTACCTATTGCTTTTGCCATTAGTATGTAACATTTAAATTTATGTTAAAAGAAAAATAACTCAAACATTTATACTGTAGAATGTAGATTAGGCCAAAATCTAATATTGTAAATTTTTACTTACCTTCAGTGTCTGCTAGTCCTACTCCTACCCCTGGCTGTTTTACAGGCTCTTGTCCATTCTGTCCCATCTTCCCTCTGTTTAGGAATAAAATAAAATGACATATTCAGTTATGATCTCATGAATGCAAAGGAGGCTAAATTTGCATAAATTAAATAACATTGAAAGTAATGGCAAAAACTGCAATTACTTTTGCACCAACCAAATATTTTCGGACTTGTAATAATTATTTGAATGGCACATACATACACAGTTAATTGCTCTATATCATGATTTTAAAATGTGAACTTGTTTATTATTCCTTTTCAAGCCAAATATATACCTCAACATTCAGTAATTTTTATTTGTAGACTCATTTATCAAAAAATAAGACCGTCATGACATTTCCAAACTTTGTTTTAGAATTTTTTATTTATTTCTAACTCAAAATTGAGAAGGGGCTTTATATTTTTATAAATTGTACTGATGAGTTATTCTAGCTGTTTTTGGTGAAAAGAGCAATATTGAAATAAATACTATATAAAAATGATATTTTAATAGAATATTTCTTATTTCATGTTTTTTTTTTCCCCAACTCCTTCCTGTGTTTTCTGCTATGTTGAGCAAACTGGCTTTTGTAGTCAGGCTGCTTGGTCTCTGCTTCTGGCTTTGCTATTTCTTGCTATGTGTAATGTAAGGCAAAGTACCTGGTCAAGACTGTTTCTCCTTTTGTGATAGAAAGATAATAATATTAGCTACACTTTGATTGTGAAAAAAATCACATGAAAAATGCATAAAAAGGTTTAAAGAGTGCCTGAAAAATCATAAGCATTCAATAAATATAGCATATTAATAGGTAGGCATGCTCATAGCAGCCTTAGAATTCAGCTGAAATCTGCTAATCACTTTTACTTTTCAGCTTCAAACTTTTTGGAAAGTCAACTAGATGAAGAATTCATGATACTTTGAGGATTGTAAGCTTAGAATGTTAATAATTTAACAGCTAAAGGACTGTAGGCCACTGCTTATTTCTCTGGCTACAGAAAAAGCTACATGGCACATGAAAAAGTTTGGAATTTGCCTTTATAAAACTTAAGTGTTATAGAAAGATGCTTGAACAAAAGAGCACTTTGTAAGCAATGCTTCTAGCATAGCAGGATTTACTGACAATTAATTACAACTTTCATAGGAAGTGTTTGGTTTGCTGGACCTGCTGAAAATGTAACCATATTTATTTCTTAAGAATCCAATCATATCTTACTTGAAAACTGCTCTAAAGATCCTCTTATTCTACTTCAGAGAAGGTGCTGAAATGTGTCTGCACATAATAAAAGAGGAACACATGTAAATTCAGAAATTATTTTAGCTCAAAAACCATTACATTGTTCCATTATAATAATTCGAGGTTAAAGGTTTAAGTACAAATTTTTATTAAGTGTGTATGTGAGGGACCAAGTTCATGCAAATTAAGCAATTTCCAACATTTCTGTTTTGCCATATGTATGTTAAACCATGGTCTGCATGGTCAACATCTGCATACATATTTAAGCAATGCACAAAATTTTAGCGTATGTAATTGCTTCATCAAGATTCAAGACAATTAGTTAAGAAAAGAAAACAAAAAAGAACTCTGCTCTATCTGTTAGCATTAGAGAGGAAAAAAAAGTTTAATAGCAGTAATCTTACTTTTATCAGTACATTACGCTGGTAGAGTGAGCCAAAACTTACCTTGTTACTGAACCAATTCTATTGAAAGTGAGGGTCTTTTTAGTATTGGTAATCTAGTAGATAATAATACTAAAAAATTAATATTCTTATACTATCCCAGACTTTTAAAAAGTAGTTACTATAAGTCTTAGTAATTGTAGCACAACTACATTTTGATAATTTTGGGCGTTGTTCTTGATTCTTAGACTTTATATGTTAAGGGTGATACCCAGCCAGTCTTTGCTTTTGATTAAAACTGATTTTAACATAGGTACTTAGTCAGTATGTGTAGTAAGTACATTTTGAAGATTATACAAAAAACTTTCACAGGATTGTGAAGCTAAGTTAAGTGCAAAGGAAATGTAACTGTGGGTCATGTGAAGGATGTGATTTCTCTGAATTCCCAATGACTACACTTTAGCTCAGAACATTGTTGCTATACATTTTATAATTTATATTTTTAAACAATCACTAGATATTTATTAAAAACTTTTACTAGCCCAAGCAATAATTTTATTAGATACAATGGGGGATAAAAAAGAACTGCCACATACTACTTCCTACACATATCCTATAGTGGTTTTCAAAAGTAAATATTTGTTGTGCTCATATGGCAAAGCAAGAGTCTCCTAGACAGTTGTGCGAAGCTTTGATTTACAAGAGAAACAGAAAGTGGAAAAAACCAAAATTAGAATGTGGTGCATGTATATATAAAATACATAATCTACTTATTCTACAGACATTCAGATATTGACAAAATAACATATTTACTCTTTGGAAGTTATAACTTTATCATCAGTGTTAAATTATATATTTTGAAAGGTGCAGAAAAATTGGAAGGATAGCAAATTATGTGTGGTTTAAAACCTTTCTAAATTCACATGGCATTTACAGCTTAGGGAGAAATGTAATGAATCTGTAGAAATTATTTTCTGTCAAATTGGATCATCAGAAGTCAAAGACCAATGGGATTAGATTCCTTTTAGGAAGAATTTCCAATAAAATAGAACTGATTAAGTACAAATAACTCTACTGAATCCATAGATGAAATTTCATAAAAGAAAAGAAAGCTAAGATGGGCAGGTGATACAACAATAATTTGCTTAATTTAAATTGAAAAAAAATGTAGTTAAAAACAACAAAATGAACTCATTTTCACTGTAAAAATCCATTTTCCCTAATGCTTTGCAACTGAACCGTTATCAAAATATTACAATTGTTGTGGACATCAAAAGGAAAGATTTATGAAAACGCTTATTTTAAAACAAAGAGAAATAGAAAATCCACCTGCTGAAAAGTCTTCACTTAGCATTGGAGAAAATGGAAAAGACAACCATTTTTCGACAACCCAGCTCAGGGTTGGCAAGCTCTGCAACGTGCCAGTTAGTAAATATTTTAGATGGGCTGTGTTCTAACGACTTAATGCTGCCCTGTGGCACAAAAGCAGCATCAGGCAATACAGAGCTAATAGGAGTGGTTGTGTTCCAATACAACTTAGTTTATATTCACTGAAATTTAAATTTCCTATAATTTTCACGTGTCACAAAGTATCACATTTCTTTTGTTTTTTCCTACACATTCAAAAATGGAAACGCCACTTTTAGCTCACTGGCCTTAGAAAAGCAGGTGGTAGACTGAAATTTGTCCTGGCCTAAATCCTGGGACCTGGGTGGCCCAGTGGTATTTTCAAAATCCAGAAGACTAGTTAATAGGGAGGAGAAGGAAAGGTCAGGAAGTTTGGATTTTGTTATTGGAATAGACATAATCTACATATTTATCTTAAATGCTACCAATATGATCAAAGTGATTCTAACACATTAAGTCTGCTAAAGTTTTGCATTTGATTTGCAAAATGACTTTTTTTTTGAGGTTTAATATTATGAATGATTCTTATTCCAAGAGTACCTAGTCAGGGACCTATGCGCTACTCGGTACTTGTTCTAGAAAGTATAGAAACACTTCAATGCCTTCAATCTTAATTGTAGAAGGATTTATAGTTGAAAAGTATAATTATTCACTATGTCCTCTATTTCAAATATGATATATGGATTCTTTGAATATGTTTAAATCTTTCCTGATTCAAGGTAAATTAATATATGTTTGTCTCAAATACCAGTAATGTTTGTATTTGATCATTATGTGATTAAAACATTTTTGTACTCCTGCTGGACTTTATTCTGGCATGGCTAAGTGATTAGCAGTTTTTACATCAAATAGAGATTGTATTGATTAAGTAGTTCTGGTAGTGACTAACATTTATCCTTAGAATTAACTGAATTATCCAATCTTTCTTGAACTATCTATCTTTACATAGGCATTAACAGTTGAAGTGTCTCAGGGACAATGACTCAGAATTGGATAATTGTCTGGTTATTTCCTGTTAACTGTTGAGAATGCCTTACTCATGATGCTGAGTAAGCTTTGTAGTAACAAAAAGAGACCCACTTACATCCTTGGAATAGGAAATAGATTAGTCTCCCCTGCAGTGCTGCTGCTTCCTTCACTGTCCACGCTATACCCACTGCCAAAGCTGCTGCCCGAGGAGCCGGTGGACACAGAGCTTTCTGCAGGCCGGTGATTGGGAGGCTTTGCTGCATGGTGTGGGAAGATTCAACACCACAGTCAATAAATGAAGCTGACATTGATCTACAAATGCATCATTATACATCTTCTTAATTTACATGTGTAAAGAAACAGCTACTGAAGAACTACATTTTTCAACCTGCCTTTTCGTTTCCTTTACTGATAATGCACAGTGGCAACAATAAATTATTTTACTGTTTTTGTTGGACATCAAGGAAAAACAATCACCTTTAGGGAAAAAAATATTTAATTTTTAGACCGAGTTAAATAGTATGTAACTATGCTACTATTATTATTTTTGTGGTTTCCTTGCACAGTATTGCAAAAATGATATGGTAAATAAAAAGCATTTTTGCTATTTCATGGAGAAAATAATTTAGAAAGATTTGGGTAGATAGAAATGGCAAGATAAAGAAAATTGCTTATTTTTTTCCTATTACTAGACAATAATCTGTTTTTCTCCTTAGAAGCAAAGATGCAAAATAGAATTTTAAGAAGTGATTGAAAATTCTGTTTGTTTTTATGTACCTTTGCCTGCTATCTCCAGCAAGTTTTTAAAATTTAAAGATATTTGCTTCCCTTCAGGCATTTCCTAGTTTATCATCAAGACTTGTCTCAAGAATTTCCTAAGTTTGATATTTGAATATAAGAATCCATATTCCCATAGAGACATTACACATTTGTGCAATAAATTATGCATTAGGGGTATAGTACTAATATTGTTGGCAGATTTGAGAAGAAATCTTGATGCAAAAAGAAGGAAGATAAGGCAAGTTTTTCCCTTATTTTGCTGGGGAGAAGTTTCTATAGTAAGTTTTTGAAATTGTTGATATTTGTCTTCTGCCAGAGAGAGTGAACTTTTTGGTCACACCGATCTGGTTTTGATTCCCAACCCACTCTTTAGCAACTCCACACCGCTTTTCTCATTTGGAAACAATGGAGTAAGTAATGCCTACCTCATAAAATGGTGGTTATGAGGAGTGAGATATGTAGGAGGCCAGTAACTTACTCTTTTTCCTCTTGTGATATTATTTGCCACATCCCCACTCTTCTCAAGGGCTTTACTATCAATGGCTGTTTCTTACTGTCTTTGAGCTTAAATAGTCTTTGAAAATGAATTTAACTCTATTCTCTTCTAAATCTAGATGTGTTCAAACCTACAATTCTACTTTGAGTCTTTTTTCTTCATAAATGCATCCCTATCCCATCAGGAGTTTATTAGCCAGTTGGATAGAGTTACACTAATGAGTGAACAGTTGATAATCATTTCATGGTCCTAAGATAGCTACATATTTCTTAAGGATATGTATAAAAACACAATGATTCTTAATGTGGTGGAATTTTAACCAATATAATAACTAAATGAAGTGAAGCACACAAACATTGTGTGGGAAACCATTTGAGGACAGGAAATCCACCATCAGGATAGCTAGCATCAAGTCTTGCAAAGGATTTAACTTTTCCCCCATTTCTTCACTTTTTCGAGTTCGGCAGTAGCGGGTTCTCTAAAGCCACAAGGAATTGTTATATATATTCCAGTGGCAGTAGGATCGCTTCCCCAGAATATGAATCCCTTCCCCAGAATAGGGAATCCCTTCCCCAGAATAGGAAGAAGAAAGAAATTTTTAATAGTTAGTCAATTGTATATCAGATGTGTATAATTTAGAAATGGCTATTTAGAACTTAGATGTCTATAATTTCCTAACTTATAGACATCTGATATACAGTTGACTAATTGAACTGAATGCTGTTAACAACCAGTCACCAATGAGTTACTAGTAACCCACAGGACTAGATTTGTGGAAACAGAATAGTTATGTATCTGAATATTTAATTTATGTAGAAGAAACCCAGATGATGTAGTTAGTGTTAAAAAAAAACTTCTTAAAGGAATAATTTAAAAAATGTAAAGGTAATATGAGTAGAATGTAAAATTATGGACATGTATAAAGTAGATTAAAATGCATAACCTACATAATAAGTCAGATTAGTTAATTGATTATAAACCAAAGAAAGCTGTCATACTTTTTGACTGGGATTCTATAATCCAATTCATAATTTTTAGTATGACACTGACTGGAAGACATTAATTTCATCAGTTGGAAAATCACAATTTACTATTTTCAAAGGTAAAACATAATTATTAGCCACTAATATTTAATCAATTTATATTTATTAAATTAAAATAATTTTAATTCAAGAGCAACCTCACAATGAACAAAAATAGCTACATTATAAAAATGATTTA